CGTATTGATTCGTATTGGTTTTCCCATTCGTATTGATTCCTATTGATTCGTATTGGTTATATTAATTTTCATTGATTCGTGCTGATTCCTCAAAAGCTCCATCCATCCCTGACAGGATTCTATTAGAGCCCCATCCATCCTTGACAGGATCCACTAAACCATCCATCCCCTAACACGATTCTATTAGAGCTCCATCCATCCTTAACAGGATCCTATTAGAGCTCCATCCATCCCATACAGTAGCCTATAAGAGTTTCATCCACTCCTAACAGGATCCCCTAGAGTGCCATCCATCCCTAATAGGATGCTATTAGGGTTCCGTCCATTCCTCACAGGTTCCCGTTACAGGAGGCAACCAGAGGCGTTGCTTCGCCAGCGCGCCATCGTTTCACGAAGGCAGGGCTGAGTTGACCCTTATATGGGTCCCAATGGATTGTGTGGTTAGTTGTTTGTATGAGTGCTGGATGTTGGCTGCTTGCCCCCCCCCCCCTCGTGGGTGGGGAGGGGCACAGGAGTCCGGTCATGCGAACAGAGTGACCGGACTCCTGTGCCCCAGGGGAGAGGGGCACACATGGGCGTTGATGCCTTGTTTTTGTTGTTGCTGCTGATGAGGATGATCATCGTGTGAGTGGTACTGGGGGTCTACACGTGGGGGGGGTGACCTTGTTCGGCGCGGTTACTGAGTCCACGGTTCACTGCGCATTGGAAGCTACGCGCGTGAATCATCTGGCATTACCCCTCCAAGAGAGCAGCGCTAGACCCCGATGACGATATTGGTGTCGATGATGATGATGATGATGATGATGATGATGATGATGATGATGATGATGGTGACGAGGACGATATCGATGACGATGACGGCGACGATGATGATGATGATGATGATGATGATGATGATGATGATGATGATGATGATGATGATGATGATGATTATGCGGATGATGCGGATGATGGTGGCAATGATGCTGTTTATGGTGGTTCTGGTTGGGACGATGATGGATATACTGACATTGGCGATGCTGATGATGATGCTGATGATGATGATGCTGCTGATGGTGGTGATGATGCTGCTGGTGATTGTGATGATGATGGCGATGATGGTGATGATGGTGGTGATGGTGATGATGATGCTTATGCTGATGCTGCTGCTGCTGATGATGATGATGCTGCTGAGCACTGTTTTGAAACTGTTCGGCGCAGCGATTAAGCCCGCGCTTCACTGCACATTGAAGCTACGCGCGCGAAGCATCTGGCATTACTCCGCCAAGAGGGCAACGCTAGACCCCGAGGGGTTGCTCGCGGAGGCATCAGGGCCACGTGCGCGCGCCCGCCGCACCACGCCAAGCGTGCCCGCCGTGTCCAGCCAAGCGTGTCCCGCTGGCCCGCTGGGCCTGTTCCGGGACATTTTCGAACTACTTGTTGAAACATTTTTTTGATCACCTTTCGGAACACTTTTCGGAACACGTTTTTTGATCACCTTTCGGAACACCTTTTTGACAACTTCTTTGCTCATCTTTGGGGCGCTCCTATCCGCTGCAACTCCTGGCCGCCCGCGGGTCTCGCGCATCAAAATGTCTCAGCGGGAGGCTGCCGCGCGCGATGCTCGAGCGCAACTGTGTGTCCACGTCAGGAATTGCGCCGAAAGGACGCGCCACCATCTGATATGGAGCGTTCAGATCGGGCAGGGTACCATCTGTGAGAAGGGCTTTCGCCTCCAATTGCCTCGTTTGGGAAACGTTCGCCTCCCCCTATTCAAGCCCCCACCACGAGAACTCATCTTAGATGGTTTAGATGATGATGATTATGATGATGATGATGATGATGATGATGATCCTGATGATCCTGATGATCCTGATGATGATGCTGACGATGATGACGGTGGTGGTGATGATGAGGATGAGGATGATGATGAAAATGCTGATGGTGATGATGATGATGACGGTACTGATGATGGTGATGTTGACTTTGATGCTGATGCTGATGCTGCTGATGATGATGGTGGCGCTGCTGCTGATGATGATGCTGATGCTGGTGCTGCTGCTGATGATGACAATGATGAGGATGCTGATGCTGCTGATGATGATGACCATGATGATAATGAGGAGGAGGAGGATAAGGATTATGATGAGGATGCTGATAACATTGATGATGATGATGATGATGATGATGAGGATGAGGATGAGGATGAGGATGAGGAGGATGAGGATGAGGATGAGGATGAGGATGAGGATGATGATGATAATGATGATGATTATGATGATGATGGTGGTGGTGATGATGATGGTGGTGGTGGTCATGATGATGATGATGATGACGCTGCTGCTGCTGACGATGATGATGATGATGAAATGAAATGATGATGATGATGATGATGATGATGATGATGATGATGATGATGATGATGATGATGATGATGATGATGATGATGATGATGATGATGATGATCATGATGATGATGATGATGATGATGAGGAGGAGGAGGAGGAGGATGATGATGATGATGATGATGACGACGATGCTGCTGATAGGAGGCGGTGGCGGTGGCGTTGCCGTCGGCGCCGCTGTCGTCGGCGTCGTCGGTCGGCGTCGGCGTCGGGCGTTGGGCGTCGTCGTTGGCGCGGGGCCGCCGGCGTCTCCCACAGGGCGCCGTCGCCTCCGAGCTCGCAGCGCGGGAGCGAGGTCGTCTACATGCGGAGCTGACGTGGTCGGTGCGCGGGCACAGACGCGGCAGAGGGAGGGCGTTGGAGAAGGCAGTCAAGGCGCGCAGAAAAGATGAGCAAATTTCCAAAGCTACCTTCGCATCCTTGCCCCTTCGGCCCATCCTTGGCGACTTTCGCTGGCCATTCCCGTTCGAAAACGCCAGCATGGCCCTCCAGAGCCCTTCCGTCCTTACCGCGCACCATGATTTTGCGATTTGACTGTGGTCAAGAAGGAAGGAGCACTCCCAGACGAGCAATTTTAGACCCCCCCCAGACCAGAAATGGAGGGGCAGCCTTGTGCCCAGCCCCCCTGGAACCCTCCAAGACAGCTCAAATCAGATCCCCCCCCAATCAGACCCCCCCCCTCCTTCAATATGACATCTGGAGTAATCAGGAAGGAAGCATCACTCAGGCGATGCCGCGTCGGACAGTTCCGAGGCGCCTGTTTGTAGGCTCGCCCCGAGTAGCACGGTAGTCTCTTTTTGTGACTCGCGCTCGATGGGGATTTCAAGGTTTAGGCCAAGGAAACAGGAAGGAACGGATGAGGATCATGTGGGAAAGGAGGAGGGGAGGATGTGGAGCAGTGTGAGAAGGAATAGGAGGGGTAGGACGGGGGAATGAGGAGGAGTGGAGGGGGGTGACAAGAAGGTGCTGGAGGGAGGATAATCCAGCTGCCTGCGGCAAGTCCCGCCACCGTGCCAGCTAAGCATTAGGATGATGAGGATGACGAGGATGATAAGGATGATGATGAGGACGCTGATGAGGACGAGGATGATGATGAAGATGAAGATGAATACGATCATGATGCTGATGATGCTGATGATGATGATAGAACGATGATGGCGACGATTCTGACGATGATGATGACGATGATGCTGATGAAAATGATGATGATGCTCACGATGCTGATGATGATGCTGATGATGACGATGACCATGTGATGATGATGATGGTGATGATGATGCTGAATCTGATGATGATGATGATTATGATGATGCTCCTGATGGTAATGATGGTGATGGTGATGCTGACGATCATCCTTATGATGGTGATACTTATAATGATGCTGATGATGCTGATGATAATGATGATGATGCTGATGATGATGTGGTGATGATGATGATGGTAGTGATGATAATGATGATTCGGATGATGATGCTGCTGCTGATGATGATGCTGATGCTGATGCTGCTGCTGATGATGATGATGATGATGATGGTGGTGGTGGTGATGATGATGATGATGATGGTTGTGGTGGTGATGATGCTGATGGCGGTGGTGATGCTGATGCTGATGCTGATGCTGATGATGATGTTGATGTTGATGTTGATGTTGTTGATGTTGTTGTTGCTGTTGTTGTTGTTGCTGTTGTTGTTGATGATGATGATGATGGTGATGCTGATAAGGATGATGATGCTGATGATACTGCTGCTGCTGATGATGATGATGATGATGATGATGCTGATGCTGATGCTGATGCTGATGCTGATGATGGTGATGATGATGATGATGCTGATGCTGGTGCTGATGCTGATGCTGATGATGCTGATGATGATGATGATGATGATGATGATGATGATGATGATGATGATGATGATGATGATGATGATGATGATGCTGATGATATCTCCTGTGGTGCAGTTTTCCGGGTCTCTTGGGGCCGCCTTGGGGCCTTCTAGGGCCGTCCTGGGGCGCTCCTAGGCCGTCGTGGGGCTCTCTTGGGCCGTCGTGGTGGGGCCCTCTTGCCGTCGTGGGGCCGTCGTGGGCTGTCGAAGGCCCAAGGTCGTCTTCTGTCGCTCTGGAGGCCCTTTTTGGACCGTCATTGATATATTTCGGGCCATCGTGGGGTCCTCTTGGGCGCCTCTTGGGCCGTCTTGGATCCATTTTGGAGACTTGGACCGTCTTGAGCGGACGGAAGCCCAGAAAAGCTGAGAATGCGAACATCCTTCAAGCACCATTCGGACATATATGATTTTGGCTTCTTCGAACCCTGTTGGGGGCTCTTGTGGCCCATTTTCCTGTGAAGGGTGAGACGGGGGAGGAGGAGGATGAGGAGGATGAGGAGGAGGATGAGGAGGAGGAGGATGATGAGGAGGAGGAGGAGGAGGAGGAGGGGGGGGAGAGAAGGGGGACGAGGAGGAGGAGGAGGAGGAGGAGGAGGAGGAGGAGGAGGAGGAGGAGGGAGAGAGGGAGGGAGGGAGTAGGAAGAGGAGGAGGAGGAGGATGAGGAAAAGGAGGAGAAGGAGGAGGAGGAGGAGGAGGAGGAGGAGAGGGAAAAGTTGGAGGATTGATGAGGAGATGAGCGATTCGACGGTTTACTTTCGACTGTGCTCGGGCTTGCTCGGCCATTTTACTTTCGCAGCTTTTCTTCCTTGCCCTGGACGGGCTGGACCGGTTGGTCTGCTCTGCATGTTGTTTTTGGCACCTCGCGGTACTTTGGCCAGCCCGTCGGCACCTATTGTCAAACACAGCAGCACGGATGCAGTATTCCACGAATGCTGCCCTTGCATCCTTGTCTGCTCGGCCTGTCCTCGACCGATTTTGGCTCGCCGGTCAGCTCAGGATGGACGTCTGGAGGCCCTGCATCCTCTTGCCTCGCATCCTGGCTTCTGTGCCTGACCGCGCCGGGAGAGGAAGGCTGTTCAGCACCACCCAAGCACCTGGAGGCCCACGCCGCTCTCCCTGCCCGGCCTGGAGATTCAGCGCCCTTGCTAGAAGGGGGGTAGGCCCAGGTGGCTCGACCCCCGATCGCCCAGTGATTGCCGACGGGGGCACCCCGCCCAGGAGCGTGCGCCCTCGCTGCCGGTGGCCTGGGCGTGCGCCTTCGCTGTCGGTGGCCCAACGCCGAGCTGCCGGCGACTTGCCGCCGACTCCAGGCTGATGCCGTCAGGAGACGGCCTTCACCAAGACCACACACACCTCGAGCTCCGACGTCGTCACGAAAGAGAGTGCCTGACCGCTGAGATTCACGGCTGGAGCCCCAGCCCCCGTCCTCCTGCAGCAGTCTTCGAGCCAGATCGACTTGTGATGGTCCGGGCCCGAAGCGCGGCAACATCGCGCAGGCGTGAGCAGATTGTGATGCCTGGATCTCCGGGTTGGCCCAGGGCAGAGTTGTGGGGGTCGGGTGGTGCTGCCAGACTCCCCCCTCCTCCTCCTCCTCCTCCTCCTCCTCCTCCTCCTCCTCCTCCTCCTCCTCCCGTCGGCCGCGAAGGTTCGCTGCAAGGGGGGTAGGCGCGCATGTATCAAGCAAGTAATTCACCGACCGCGTCATCCCTGCAGCTCGCGCCGCTCTTCCGCCCGCGCCCCTGCCTCGTCCCCGCGCCCTCCCGCCCTCCCTCCCTCCCTCCCTGCCTGTCAGAGGAGGAAAAGGTACCGATGCCGCTGCTCGTCCTGGAGAGTCCTCGTCGACACGGCTGGATTCCCTTCGAAATTCTGGGCAGACTGCACCTTGGGAGAGGTCTGGGGAGTAGCGCAATCGGTTCCTTTTTACCCTCCCCTTCCCCCCCTCTCCCCCCTACCCCCTGCCTCTCCCTCCTTTCCTCCCTCCCTTCTGTCTGGTCACCCCGCCCGACTCACCTGCACTTCCGCTCTTCCCGCCCGCCGGCGTGGCCGCGCGAAGCCAGGCCCCCCCCGTTGCTGGACGCAGCCGGGGCCGAAATTTGTTTTTGCAGTGTAGTAGAATAGGTTAGTCGGTCTGCCTGCATCGGCGGAGACGCCGCTCGAGAGCTGGTCTGGGCATGGGCCCAGCCGCCAATGCGCCGCTCGATCCGGCGTCGGGGCCTCTGCAGGCAGAGCTAGAGCCCGATGTGTCCTTTCAGGTGCCCGTGGCCCGGGTGCCGCTTGCCCAGTTCGGACGGGTCCAGGACGAGGGTGCGCCTGTTCCAGAGCGTTCCAGAGCGCTCTCGGCAGAGCTGTCCGGCACGCTCTGGGAGAAGGCCTCGGCGCCCGACGCATTCTCCAGGGCCGCTGGGTCTCAGAGGTTCTCGAGGTGTCTTCTCCCGATGTTATCCTCGTCCTGGCTCCGTCTTACTTATGCTTGTCGCCATCTCTCCCCTCTCTCTTCTCCTCCTGCTGCTGCTGCTCCTCCTCCTCTCGGAGGAGCATGGGGTCATGGCAGTGATGCGTTCCAAGATTTGCCAGGGTTTCCCCAGATTTCCTGATGTTCCACAGGGGGCTACAGAAACGAGGGCCTCTCGATGCTCCTCGGAGATCCTGAAACACGTCCCGAGCCAAGCCTATCATGGCACCATTCCCGTCCTGTCCTCCTCTCCTTCATCCCTCTCCTCCTCCTCCCCTCGCCACCCCCGCGCGGCCCCTCCGAGCCCCTGCAGGTTGCAGCAGGCCGTCTGCGTGCCCCTGCACTCTGGGGCGGCGCGGCGGGGTGAACTTTTTGGAGTAGATAGATCCAGGGCCGCGTTTCTAGACGCGAGGAAAAAATGTCCAGGGTTGGGTTCGCAGCCCAGGTAGGCAAGCAATGCCGTCGTCGAGGGGTATAGGTACAGATGATCGGCGATTTCCCTCGGGAGGAGGGGAGGGGGCGGGGACAAAGGGGGGAAGGGGAGCTGAGTGGAGGGGAGCGGAGGTGCACTGACACCCGGCAATCTCTGGAGTGCCTCCTCAGCTGCGGCTCCTGCCCGACTTCGGTCCAGCGTACCGCTCCCAGGGGACTGGACGGGAACCCTGCCCCTGCCCCCCGGGATTTCTGAGGGAGAGGGTGGGGCTCGCTGTGCTCGGGCGCTCCCGAACGAAGTGAGCCCCGCCCTCCCCCTCAGAGATCGCGGGGGGTAGGGGGCCCCGAGCTCCCCCGCCCTCTCCCTCAGAGATCGCGGGGGGTAAGGGGCAGGGTTCGCACGTGGCCCCCGAGCTCCCCCCGCACGACTGACTCCCTGGCGGAGCCTGCGGCTGCCCACACCACGTGCTGGGCGCCTCGAGTTCAGAGCGTGCCCCCCCCCTGTTGCCCTCCTCCGCGGCCGCCCCCTTCTTCTCCGGCCTCTCTGGTGTGCCCCTGCTCCTCCTCCTGCTCCTCGTCGTCCTCCTCCTGCTCCTCGTCGTCGTCGTCCTCCTCCTCCTCCTCTCTCCTCCTCCTCCTCCTCCTCCTCCTCCCTCCTCCTCCTCCCTCCTCCTCCTCCTCCTCCTCCTCCTCCTCCTCCTCCTTTTCCTCCTTCTCCTCCTCCTCCTCCTCCCCTCCGCCTCCTTTTCCTACTTCCTCCTCCTCCTCCTCCTCCTCCTCCCTCCTCCCTCCTCCTCCCTCCTCCTCCTCCTCCTCCTCCTCCCTCCTCCTCCTCCTCCTCCTCCCTCCGCCTCCGCTCCTCCTCCTCCTCCTCCTCCTCCTCCTCCTCCTCCTCCTCCTCCTCCTCCTCCTCCTTCTCCTCCTCCTCCTCCTCCTCCTGATGTCTGGTTGACTCGGCCGTGACCCTGCAGGTTCCCTGCCTTTTTGTGGTTCGCTTCCGTCGCCGCGACCAGCAGTGTGCTGCGCTATCGAGAGCCACTCACCGAAAGCGGCCCGCCCTCGGGCCAACTTTGGAAAAATCGGCCGCGAGCCGGTCGAGGAACTAAACGCCGCATAAGCATAAACGCTCGGAGCGCCGCGCGGATTTCTTGGATCGACGCTGGGCTCCCTTGGCGACGCCTCCGGCGACGCCTCCGGTGCCGCCCCTGGCGCGCTCTGCGCGCCAGAGATGGGGGGTCCAGCGGGGATGCAAGAAATTTGCGCGGACCTCCGAAAGTTTAGGTTCAAGATGTTTTTTGTCCCTCGAGCCGCGACGGGCACCCTCTCTGGTCCTCGGGCGCACAGGGACCGACCAGTGCCGCTCGGCCGATGTCCCGCGGAGCCTCGAGCCGTCGAGCCGGGCGGAGCCATGCGTGGAGTCGCACGGGGCATCTACAGTCGGACCGAGGTACAAGATCGAGGTCGGTTCGAGGAGGGTGCCCTAGTGTTCGTGTTTGTTGGATGTTCTTGTGCATCCTGAGGAGGGTGCCCTTGGATGTTCTGTTGATTTTGGCCGACGGAGGGTTTCATGTTCTTGATGGATGTTATTCTGGCCTAGGTCCGACTGTGTCGGTGCGATCGAAATGAGCGCGGAAAGAGTGGGAACGAAGACCGGCAGCAGTTCCTGTCCACTTTGATCTGGACTCGGAGTCGGTGTCGCCGCGGACGTGATCCACATGGGAGACGCAAAGAAAAGGGGTTCGACTGCGCGGACATTCGCGGGTACGCTTCCCGCGAAAGGTCGCGTGTGAACGCCCTCGTTTCCAATGCAGCGTGCAGCGCTGGCGGCCCGCGTGAGTCACCGCGTAGGGTCGCTATGTCATCTCGCGTAAGACCCGTCTAATTCCAATTATTTGGTGGTGTTGGCTCTTCGTTTTTAAGAGACAGCGCCCCGCCTTCCTTGCTTCCTTCCTCCCCCTCTCCTCCTCACCCCCCTCCTCCCTCCTCTCCCTCCTTGCCTCTGCTCTCTTCGTCGCAATCGTCATCATTACCATTGTCATCATCATCACCACCACGACCATCATCATCATCATCATCAGCATCATCATCATCAGCATCATCATCATCATCATCATCAGCATCAGCATCAGCATCAGCATCAGCATCATCATCGTCATCACCATTTTTTTAATTTGTATTCGTATTATTATTATTATTATTCATATGATTATTACCACCATGATTATCATACAGCACTATTGCGATGATTGTTGATTCAGATTCTTTTATTCATAGTATTGCCATCAGTGTCATTACTATTACTGATATTACTAGCATGAGGACAATACGTATTACACGTACTATAAGTACAGTAATGCTGATTATTGTTAGTAACATTTTTAATCTGATTGTTTTTACCATCATAAGTTTCACCATCATCATCACCATCAGCACCATCACCAACACCATCACCATCACCATCGCTCTCATCATCGTCATCATCATCATCATCATCATCTTATTCATCGTCGTCGTCATCAGCATCACCACCATCATCATGATCATCATCATTATCAGCATCATCATCATCATCATCGTCATCATTATCACCATCATCATCATCATCAACAGCAACAACAGCATCAGTATACTCATCCTCACCAGCATCGTCGTCGTCATCATCATCACCATCACTATCATCATCACCGTCATCATCATCACCACCATCATAATCATCATCATCATCACCACCACCATCATCATCATCATCATCATCATCATCATCATCATCATCATCATCCTCATCGTCATCGTCATCGTCCTCACCATATCCACAAGTTTCGGCACACACACCTCATACGTTTCGTGATCCTACACGGAGCTCCACCGAAGGCCCCAATTGCAGTGCCCACATGCGTCCCACCACTCATGTCGGCACACCCTTCACTCGTTTCGTGGCCCCATAGGGAGCTCCACCGAAGGCCCCAGTGGCGGTGCCCACATGCGTCCCCGCCACCAAGTTCGGTACACCCCTTAAACGTTTCGTGGCCCCATAGGGAGCTCCAACGAAGACGCCAGTGGAGGTGCCCACATGCGTCTCCGCCACCCGTTTCGGCACACCCCTTAAACGTCTCGTGTTCCCCATAGGGAGGTCCACAGAAGGGCTTCAGATAGGGAGCTCCACCGACGGCCAGTGGCGGTGCCCACGTGTGTCCCCGCCACCAACTTCGGCACACCTCTAACACGTTTCGTGGCCCCGTAGGGAGTTCCACCAGTAGCGGTGCCGACATGCGTCCCCGCCACTTATGTCGGCACGCCCCTCACACGTTTCGTGGCCCCGTAGGGAGCTCAACCGAAGGTCCCAGTAGCGGTGCTCACATGCGTCCCCGCCGCCCATGTCGGCACGCCCCTTACACGTTTCGTGGCCCTATGAGGAGCTCCACCGAAGACGCCAGTGGCGGTCCCCACATGCGTCGTCCCCGCCACTCATTTCGGCACACCCCGCACACGATTCGTGCGCATGAGGATTTCCACCCAGGGCCCCAGTGGAGGTGCCCACACGCGTCCCCACCATCCATGTCGGCACACCCCTTACACGCTTCGTGTCCCCATAGGGAGCTCCACCGAAGACGCCGGTGGCGGTGCTTATATGCGTCCCCGCCATTCATGTCGGCACACCTCTCGCAGGTTTCGTGGCCGCATAGGCAGCTCCACTGAAGGCCCTAGTGGCGGTCCCCACATGCGTCCCCGCAACCCATGTCGGCACACCCCTCACACGTTTCGTGTCCCCGTAGGGAGCTCCACGGAATGCCCCAGTGGCGGTGCCCACATGCGCCTTCGCCACCCATGTCGGCACACTCCTCACACGTTTCGTGGCCCCATAGGGAGCTCCACCGAAGGCCCCAGCGCCGCTGCCCACATGCGTCCCCGCCACTTATGTCGGCACGCCCCTCACACGTTTCGTGGCCCCAGAGGGAGCTCCACCGAAGGCCCCAGTGGCGGTTCCCACATGCGTCCCCGCCACCCGTTTCGGCACCCAACGCACACGTTTCGTGGCATATGGAGCTCCACCGAAGGCCCCAATGGCAGTGTCCACATGCGTCCCGACCACCCATGTCGGCAGACCCCTTACACGCTTCGTGGCCCAATAGGGAGCTCCACCGAAGACGCCAGTGGCGGTGCCCACATGCGTCCCCGCCACCCGTTTCGGCACACCTTTCACACGTTTCGTGGCCCCATAGGGGAGCTCCACCGACAGCCCCAATGGTGTTACCACATGTGTCCCCGCCACCCATGTTCGCAAAGCTCCAGTGGCGGTGCCCCCGCCATTCATTTCGGCACACCCCTCACACGTTTCGTGGCCCCATAGGCAGCTCCACCGAAGGCAATGGTGGCAGTGCCCACATGCGTCCCCACCACCCATGTCGGCACACCCCTTACACGTTCCGTGGCCCCATAGGGAGCTCCACCGAAGGCCCTAGTGGCGGTACCCACGTGCCACGTGCATCCCCGCCACCCATTTCGGCACACCCCGCACACGTTTCGTGGCCCCGTAGGAGGTTCCACCGAAGGTCCGAGTGGCGGTGCCCACATGCGTCTTCGCCACCCATTTCGGCACATCCCTCTTACGCTCCGTGGCCCCATAGGGAGCTCCACCGAAGGCCCCAGTGGCGGTGCCCACATGCGTCCCCGCCACCCATGTCGGCACTCCTCTCACACGTTTCGTGGGTCCATAGTGAGCTCCACCGATGGCCTCAGTGGCGGTGCCCACATGCGGCACACCCTTCCCACGTTTCGTGGCCCCGCAAGGGGGCCCCACCGAAGACGATACTCACAACTGCGTAAAGTTGGGTCCTTTTATCAGGCTAGTGCTCGTCGCGCACTTGGTACAAGAAGTTGCCTGCCCGGCAGCGGCCGCTGTTGGCTTTGGACAGCTTTTGCCGTTGGGCACCGCGCCCATACGGTTGGCGTTGGACAGACAGCGTCGACCTCCGAAAAGCACGCTGCCCCTGCGAGGCGCTTCCCCCGCGAGCCCCTCCTGTGCACGTTGCCCCCCTGCCAAGTACCAGGGCTTCTCTGGTGCACGCGATCCCCACGGCCGAGGATCGCGTGCCATGGGCGGGCCGGCGGCGTCGGGTCGCTCGCTATCTTTCTGACGCCAACCGCACTGCGAAGGCCTGACGGTGCCGCCGACCCTGGACGACGACCCCCCCCCCCCCACGACGGAGGAGGCGTTCAGGAAGCTCGGGATCGGACGCTCCCGAGAGTGCCCAGAGGGGCTGCACGAGGCCCCCCAGAAGGTGCCCAAGGCCCCCCACGAAGTCTTGTGGGGGTGCCTCGGGGGGCCTGCGGCGCCACGTGGCACGCCAGCCGTCTCGCAGGGCGCCGGACTGTGCCCGAGCCGGCTGCACCGCAGGTGCACGCGGGGGGCACGAGGGGGCCGGGAGGAGGGCGGCCACGGTTGGGCGTTGGAGGGAGGGCGTCGGCATCGTTTCGCCGATGCCCATCCCCGTCTCCATCCTCACCCCGACTCCCACCGTGCCGCCACCCCGGTTGGGGGTGCGTGCCCCTCGACGCCCGAAGGAAGCGGCCCGCATCCCCATCTGGGGGGGAAGGGGTAAGTCGGCCAGTGGGGGGCCCAGGCCTCGCCCCTGCGGCGCCAAGGGGGGTCGGTGGAGCGGTGCTCACAGCGTCGGACGGGGCGCCGCTGGCCCGCTTGTGCACACTGTCCCCCCCCTGGGGACCCTGAGATCCCGACGCTCCAGAGACATTGGAGCGGCGGGATTTTGGCAGTTTTCGGCCCCTGGGGGCCCTCGCCTGGGCCTCGGGAGCTTCAACAAAACGACTCAGGACGAGAAACCCGTCCCGGCGAGATTCTGGCAGTTTTCGGCCCCTGGGGGCCCTCGCCTGGCCTCGGGAGCTTCCACAAAACGACTCAGGACGAGGAACCCGTGCCGGGAAAGTGTCCGGACCTCAGGGGCCGACGCATCGAAAACATTGGAGCAGCGGGGATTGATCCATAACCACCGCCTGGCCAGGTCAGGTCAGATCAAAAGCCGTGCCATGACGGCACATCGGCAACAGTGCAGACAGTTCAGAGAGCAAAATTATCCCGGCAAAGCAACCTAACAGCGATGTGTAGAAGCATATCTGAAAGCATTTCCCTTAAGATTCAGATGAACATCCAGTTGTAGAATTCTGCTGTTCTCGCAGTCGTAGTCGCATTCGCGATGACAGTCGCAGCGGCAACGGCAGTCGCAGTCACAGCCTCAGCCTCAGCCTGCCTCAGCCTCAGCCTCAGCCTGCCTCAGCCTCAGCCTGCCTCAGCCTCAGCCTCAGCCTGCTTCAGCCTCAGCCTCAGTCTGCCTTCAGCCTCGGCCTCAGCCTCAGCCTGCCTCAGCCTCAGCCTGCATCAGCCTCAGCCTCAGCCTCAGCCTGCCTCAGCATCAGCCTGCTTCAGCCTCAGCCTCAGCCTGCCTCAGCCTCAGCCTCAGTCTGCTTCAGCCTCAGCCTCAGTCTGCCTTCAGCCTCGGCCTCAGCCTCAGCCTGCCTCAGCCTCAGCCTGCCTCGGCCGCAGCATCAGCCTGCCTCAGCATTCAAAATGTGGCCCAGGAATGGAGTTCTGGGAACTAGAAGAACACGAAGTGGCCTACAGTTGGCTCCGGGCATTCAAAATCATGCCCAGGAATGGAGTTCTGGGAACTTGAAGAGCACGAAGTGGCCTACAGTTGGCTCCGGGCATCCAAAATGTGGCCCGGGAATGGAGTTCTGGGAAATCGAAGAGCACGAAGTGGCCTACAGTTGGCTCCGGGCATCCAAAATGTGGCCCGGGAATGGAGTTCTGGGAAGTCGAAGAGCACGAAGTGGCCTACAGTTGGCTCTGGGCATCCAAAATGTGGCCTGGGAATGGAGTTCTAGCAGCGCCAAAAGCGATTTTGCGAGGATGTCCCAAGCGATTTCGGCTTCGGCGGCAGCGCCCCGGGTCCCGCCCCGGGTCCCGCCCCGACCCCCTTGTGGAGTCATCTGCTGCTCTCTTTTGAGACCACTAGAAACCTATCAGCAAGAGCTGTTAGGTAATTAGAATACCGCCGGACAATGGCCCTCCACTCTCTAAGACAGCCATTGCTCCTATCCGCCGCCCTGAGCGCATGCGCTCTGGCTTTGCACCCCCAAGAAACTCTTGGGCGCCCACGCTTTCGCTCGCCAGCCGGTTTGGCCAGCTGCGTACCTCCACAGGCGGTGGTTATGGGTACACTCGGGCCCCCAGGGGCCAAATCATATCCGTATCCACCGCCCGCTGGGTCCCCAGGACGTCGGTTCCCGGGCGGCGGATGTGGAGAAATCCGCGCCTCGCAAGCGTGTCTCGAAGACGCCTTGGCAGGGGGATGCAGTGGAGTCCCATGCCAAGAAACACCCTGCTTCCCTCCAGGGTGCCCTGGGTTTCTCGGGTTTGGATGCTTCTTCTACGGAAAGTGTGACGTTCGTCATGGGGTCTCAGGGTTGGGTTTCTTGTGGAAGGTTTCTTGTGGTCTGGCCTCCGCTGTAGCGTGCACAGAGGGGGCCCAAGCGGGGGTACCACCTCACAGGGATGGTGTGCTTCTGCGAGGTCGACGCTGCGCGCTGTCTTGCCAACGCCAACCGTACACAGGTCTTCCTCGTTTCCTCCTCCCTCGCCCTCCCAGGAAGGGGTGGCAGCAATCGGAGGAGGAGGGGCGGGGGCGGGAGGAGGGAAGAGGTCCACCTACAGGGGGGGGGGGGGGAGTCTCGAGGGCAGGGGAGCGAGGAGCCACGATGACGACACTTACGACCCAAGGCTTCGGGGCCTCCCTGTCCCGCGCGGGCTCCAGGGGCGAAGGGTCCCAAGAGCCCTCCCACGACAACTCAAAGAGAGTAAAATCATTGATGCCCCTCAAGTTCTCCAATTTTTTTTGCCGCGGCCGCCGCCGCCATCGCCTCCGCCGCCGCCGCCGCCGCCGTCGCCGTCGTCGTCGTCGTGCCGTCGTCGTCGTCGTCGTCGTCGTCGTCGTCGTCGTCGCCGCCGCCGCCGCCGCCGCCGCCGCCGCCGCCGCCGCTGCCGCCGCCGTCGTCTTCGTCTTCGCCGTCGTCGTCGCCGCCGCCGCCGCCGTCGCCGCCATCGCCTCCGCCGCCGCCGCCGCTGTCGTCGTCGCCGTCGTCGTTGTCGTCGTCGCCGTCGCCGTCGTCGTCGTCGTCGTCGTCGTCGTCGTCGTCGTCGTCGTCGTCGTCGTCGTCGTCCCCGTTCAGGGTCGGCGGCGCCGGTTCCGAAGGCATTCGCAACACGGCCCAAGACCTCAAGGCCTCCCTGTCCCGTGCGGGGCTCTGGAGGCGAAGGCTGCCCGACACTCCTGGGACGCCTCCACATCATCCTCGTCCTATGTCGGGGGAAGGTGGCGCTGAGGGGCTGAGGTTGGGCGAAGGCCGCCAGACACCCCCAGGGAGCCCTGGGACGCACGCTGAGCCAACGGCATCGCTACGTCACTCTCGTCCCGTGACGGGGGAACGCAGGGCGCCTGTTCGGCGGAGCTCGGGTTCGCTTGCGCTCTCCGACGGGCCCGTCCTGTGTTTTGGCGGTCCAGTCTTTGTGGGATGTCTGCAGCGGGAACTCGCGTCGAGTTTCAGACTGGGTCTCGTCATTTTGCTGACGGCCCCGTCAGGCCAACCCGAGTCCACCGAACCCGAGTCTTACGCCTCTCCGGCCACGGAGGGCAGGGA